AGGAACGAAGCGCGTCGAGAAGTTTTCCGGTTCGCATGCCGGAGGCCGTCAATGACGCCGCTCCAGACCCTAGTTACCAGAAAGCGTGCAATCGCCAAAGACCCGCTGGTTGCTCCAAGCTGCGAAATCTACAGCAAGTAACCATCAATTCCGGTCAACTCGGTCAATGTCAGACAAATACCCGTGCCAGAGTTGCCACAGCCATTGCGGTTGCCGCGCGTTTGGGTCCATCGAATTCTGCAGCGGCCTGTCCGGGAACTGTCAGGTTGACGCGGTTTAGATCCGACGCTTCCAGTTGATCCAGATCCGCTGACTTGGCGGCCTCTTCCGCGGAGATGCGGATCTCGTCCAGCATCCGGACAAGGCACTGCCAGATATGCAAGGGGGGTGCTTCGCTTGTGTCGCACCAGCGAACAATTTCATCTTTTGATACGTCAAGAGCAGCAGCGGCCTCGTCTATCGACAGACCGATGTATTTGACCATATCACTGAAATTACTCATCTTTTCACCCCAGACGTTGAACGTCCGTACACATCCACCTCCATATAGTGCGCTGCAATATGGCGAAATTCCAGCATTTTACAAGATTTTAGTTAAATCATTCATCGGCAAAGGATTTGAGCGCCGGAACATAACGATGATTCTCGCAGCCGCTCTCGGTAGTTCTCGCGAGCATAGCGGACGTCTATTGATCCTACGTATAGGTTGAACCGTCAATTATCTGAAATTGCTCGACAAAATCGATATCGGTGGAAAACGGACCGCTGCCGGAATGTCAGGTTCGGTTAATGGTAGGTTTATTTGACCAAATCAACCGACCTGACATGCTGCCGGACCCCGTTCATGAAGTTCAAGGGAAAATCCTTTATTGCGATCGTGCTTTCACCTGAGCAACCCTTCGATGCGTGGTTCAAGGAAGTTGACCGGATCATATCTCGCTCGCCGGGTTTTTTCATCGACCGGCCGATCATCCTTGATGTTCGAGGCACCAACATCCCGATCGAGGATCTGGAACAGCTCCTCGATGGTTTGAACGAGCGCTCGATCCGCGTCATGGGAATAGACGGCGTGTCCGGGACGCGCCTCAAGAAAGGCATGCCGCCGAGCTTTGGCGGCGGACGGCTTGCTTCAGATGTGGCGGTGCCCGAGCCAGGCAATGTCAGTGACGAAGACAACAAAGAGGTCCAGTCAGCTGATGCATCAGCCGCAGCCCCAAGTGAAACATCCGTGGTCAATTCGAAAGACGGGGATGTAAACGGACAATCAGTCAACGGCCATACTTCTGCCAAACCGGACACGGAGACATCGGATCCTGCCCCAATGGAAGAAGGTGCATCGATCGTGATTCCCGAACCCGTTCGCTCAGGCCAGAGCATCCTCCATCCGGATGGAGACGTCACGGTGATCGGGTCCGTCAGCTCTGGTGCAGAGATCATTGCGGGCGGGTCCATCCATATCTACGGCGCACTGCGTGGCCGGGCCCTTGCTGGCGTTGCTGGCAAGGACAATGCCAGGATTTTCTGCACGAAGCTGGATGCCGAACTGGTCTCCATCAACGGACTTTACAAGGTCGCGGACGACTTCGACGCCGCCTTACGCAATTCACCGGCACAGATCCGCTTCGAGAACGAAACGCTGGTCTTTGAAGAACTGAACTGAACAGGACCCTGCCAATGAGAGACGGGACTGAAGTCAAAAACGGGACGGACACCATGAGCAACGCCACTGTCGTTGTGGTCACGTCGGGCAAAGGCGGGGTTGGCAAGACGACCACAACCGCCGCGATTGCTTCGGCGCTTGCCAAAGAAGGCTACCAGGTCTGTGCGATCGATTTCGATGTCGGGCTGCGCAATCTCGATCTGATCATGGGCGCGGAGCGCCGGGTGGTGTTCGACCTCGTCAACGTTGTACGCGGCGAAGCGTCTATCAAGCAGGCCCTGGTGCGCGACAAGAAGCTCAACAATCTGTTCCTGCTGCCGGCGTCCCAGACCCGTGACAAGGATGCCCTCACCGAGGAGGGTGTCGCCAGTGTCATCAACGAGTTGCGCATGTATTTCGACTGGGTGATCTGCGACAGCCCGGCCGGCATCGAACGCGGAGCGACACTTGCCATGCGCCACGCCGACGAGGCCATCATCGTTTCCAATCCGGAAGTGTCTTCCGTTCGGGACTGTGACCGGATCATCGGTTTGCTCGATGCCAAGACCAAGGTTGCGGAAGACGGTGGCCGGATGCCCAAGCATCTGATGATCACGCGCTATGACACGGACCGCGCAAAGACTGGCGACATGCTGGCAACTGACGATGTGGTCGACATTCTTTCGGTTCCGCTGATCGGCGTCGTACCGGAGAGCAAGGATGTTCTGAAGGCGTCCAATGTCGGCCTCCCCGTCACGTTGTCGGATGAAAATTCTCCGGCTGCAAAAGCGTACATGGAAGCGACGCGCCGTCTGCTCGGGGAAAACATCCCGGTCACAATCCCGGAAGAGAAGAAGAGCCTGTTCGGCAAGCTCTTCAAAGGGAGGGCCGCATGAACATCCTGAGCCTCTTTGGCAAAAGAGGCGAAAGCGCCTCTGTTGCCAAAAACCGGCTGCAAATCCTTCTGGCACACGAACGGGCCGATGACGGATCCGATGCCGTTCTGATCTCGAGCCTGCGGGAAGATATCCTGGCCGTTGTTGCCAAACGGGTCGACATAGACCCGGACTCCGTACGCCTTGAAATGGACCGTTCAGGCGACGTCACGACACTCGGCATTGATATCGAGCTGCCGGCAGCGAAGGCTTCCTAACACACTGTTTCAGGCACGAACCGGCTGACTGGCCGGTTCGTGTTCTGGCGTTTGACAGCCCTTTGGGGCGTCGTCCTGTTGAATGTCTCTCAACGGCGACTTGCTCAGATCAAGCAGACCCGATGTGCAGACGGCAACCTGCGGCGCCCGCTCCGGCCGTTACGCCCTGCTTGACGTTTCGTCGCCGGTGTAAACCTCCACGCTGCTGATCAGTTTCGGCAGGCGCCAGATCACCGGGATCGAAACGAGCGTCGCGATGATGATGTAGTAGACCGGCGCAAAATCGTCACCGGTCCTGTTCACAAGATACGTCGCAACGATTGGTGTCGTGCCACCGAAAACAGCCATACAAATATTGTAACCGAGCGCCACAACGCTGCAGCGAAGGTGTTGCGGCGCCATCATCGTAAGCGCACTGACCGAAAGGGCCCAGCCGGCCGTGCTGCTGAGCGTCAACCCGAGCTGGCCTGCAAAAACCGATATGGTGTCCGGTCGGTGCATCAGCCACCAACAGGGTGCGGCCGCAAGAAGCGTAACGATCGCGCCGGCCAAAAAGACCGGACGAAATCCGAACCTGTCGGCTGCCATGCCGCAAACCGGCACGAACAGCGCCATGACGATGAGATTGATTGTCGTGATGTCGAGAGCTTTCGAAGAGGAAAATCCGGTTTCCGACCCCAGGTAAGACACCGCGTAGACGTAGATGACAAAATAGATCACGGCCGTTGGTATCAGCAGCAAAACCATCTGTCCGATCAGCCCCTTGTGATTGCGCAGGCTTTGCAGAACGGGAGACGTCCTGTCGTCCGGGTTTTCAGCCCTGACGGTTTCAGTCAGGCTCAAGCGCAGGATCGCGCTGAATATCGCGACAAGACCACCGATCGCGAATGGGAGTCTCCATCCCCACTCAGCCATTTGTTCGGTGCTCAGGACCGTGCTGAAACCCGCCGGAACGGCAGACCCGAGAACACAACCCCACATCATGGCAAAGGCGACCCATGCACCGGTCATGGCCCTGCGCCCCTCGCGTGCCTGCTCGACAAGCAACACGCCGGAAGCCGTGTACTCACCGGCAACGGATATTCCCTGCACGACGCGGATGGCAACCAGAAGCAAGGCGGCAGCAATACCGATTTCCTCATAGGTCGGAAGTGCAGCGATGGCAAAGGACCCGCCTCCCATCAGCAGAACGGAGATCATAAGTGCCGTCTTGCGCCCGATGCGGTCACCTATATGTCCGAAGATAACACTTCCGATCGGCCGTGCGGCATACCCGACCGCGAGAACCGCAAAGGCGGACAGGAGCGAGGCCAACTTGTCCTCCGACGGGAAAAAGAGCGTTGCCAGCGTCGGAGCCAGAAATCCGTATACCGTAAAATCGTACCATTCCAGAACGTTGCCGCTGGACGCAGCCATAATGGCTTTGGGTGTCAGTTTCGATTTTGTCTCAGTCATGACACCTCGTCTCTGCGGTCAGGCGCCCCAATCACAGCTGCCGATGACCTGCGCCAGCTGCTAAAGTGTTCTTGCCAGCAAGCAAAAAGCATACGGTCAATCCTGTCTGCGCCGTCACCCTGTGCGCCACTGCCGATATCCAGCGGCACAATTGACAAGCTCAAACAACATGTCGGTCAATAGACAGCCAGCCGCACTGTCGCATTGCTGGTGTCATCACAACGTTCATTATCGAGAATTGTATAAAGTGATTTGCCAGTTTCTGAAAGTATTTCGGCCTCAACCGCAATAGCTGCGGACCGGGTATCTGAATTCCCTGCGAGCCTTGGCATACATCTCTTCCTGTTGAGTGAAAACGTCGCCTCCCATCATTGATCCGGGTGGAATTTCTGTTGCGTTTGACTTCGTTTTTCATACGACAGGAACACATTCGAATAACTGGAAACTCTTGTCGAATTGCGAAGGCCTGTTCGTGACACAGGCATTTGTTCGAAAAAAGCCGACTGCAATGAACGAATTTTGTTTGCAATCCATGTCTGTCATTTGGCCCAGGGCTTGCTTGACCAAGGTTCATGCATTGGAGAACAGGCGTAAATGTGCACACACAGGACGGTTGACGCAGTTGTCAGTTTCAAAATGAGACTATTTGCCCGTCAAATCTTCCACTTACGTTGCTGCACGCAATAAGTGCTTGCCTGGTTGTATTTCCATGCTAAGTATGACTAAGAAAAATTAACCATGGGATCGTTAAACATGAAGTCATTGAATTTCGCGGGAATTGCGGCAGCCATCTTTCTTGCTGCCTCCACAGTTGCCAGTGCCGCTCCAACGCTTAGCTTTTCAGGGCTCAATCAGGCTCAAATCGAAGCGCTGACCCCGGTTGCGAATATTGCACCGACGTCAACAACAGGAAACTACTTTAACAACGTGATCGGCAACCAGTTCAATGGTGGCGGCGGGTTGATCGCACGATCTCCGTGGGAGGGCACGTCCCACCAGAACACCGACGGTGTTTTCAGCTCGGTGCAGGGCGGATCTTCGGCAACCTTTGAATTTGACAAGGTCCAGACCGGACTGTCCATGATCTGGGGATCTCCTGACAGCTACAATGACCTGGTGATTACGTTGTTGGGAGGTGGTGGCACCTACACCATCAACGGCAATGACGTGAAAGGCCCAAGCGGCATTCTGGCTTCACTGGTCGGCGTCACGAATGTCGCATTCCAGAAAATTGTTCTCACGTCGGGTTCCAACGCTTTTGAGTTTGCCAACCTGAAAACCACACCCGTCCCGATCCCAGCCGGCGCTCTGCTTCTGGTGACCGCGGTCGGTGGGCTCGCGCTGGTGCGTCGCAGGAAGTCCGCGTAACCCGCAATTTCCGGGATCGTAGATCCCGTGAACGAAATCAAAGTCAAAGGGGCTCCGGGATTTTATCCCGGAGCCCCTTTGACTTTGTGAGTGGATGTCGTCAACAGGCGTCAAGTTCTGTCACCCATGAGAGCAACGTCAGCTGCCCAGGACCAGCTACGGACAACCGAAGAAACGTTAATGTACTGAATGAAGCGCTTGAGCGGCAGGAACTCATCAACCATTCCAGGATCTTGGAAGGGGTCCCTTTGAAACCGATTCATTGAAGATCAGCGTTGTTCACTGAGTTCGACCGGTCAATATGACCTCCTTCGGCAACTGCTGATCTTTTTTTCATCGCTCGAATGGAATGACCAGTGAACGCAATGGGCCGGGATTCGATCGACGGATCGGCCGGTGACATCATCTCTCAGACTGTAGCAACCGGCATCTTACCAACTGTCGTGGATTACCCCGGCGACGGCGGACAAGAAACACAGGAATTTCCAGCGAGCGGAAGCAATCCGATACACAAAGGACGGCTCTAGCGTTGCGGCCCCAGAAGCGCCATGTCCTTTTCGGCCAGCAACAGATTGGAATAAAGATTGGCGATCCACTGGCGCCCGGAGGTCGTGATTTTCAGATAGTCGATTGCCTTTTGTATGTAGGGTGCAACGCTGTTCCAGTAGAACTGCGGATAAAGATGCACCAGGTCAGCCGGGGTGTCATAGCCGAGTTGCTTGTTGAGACCGGATTCTTCGAATTCATAAAAGAGGGCATTCGCCTTGCGAATATAGTGCGGGTCGCCAAGCTGACCGATAAAGTCGGCAGCTCTCAACAAATTTGCTTCTTCGCACAGTGTTTCGCCGTCATCCGGAAACCTGTTTGGAAACCGGGTGCCTTCGATTGCAGTTGCAACGCGCTCAGGGTCGAGAAGGCTGTTGCCCGCAAGACGATGATGTACGAAGAGTTTGGAGCGATCGACATGATAAGGTGTCAGCGACGCATCCGACGCGCCGCGCGGCAATTTGATTTTGTCGCCGGCAGGATCAATGACGAAGCGATTGTCTTCGTCTTCCGGCAAGATACCACGCACATAACCGATATCATGGGTAAGGCAGGCAACGATGACATGTGCATAGTCGGTCGGGGCCATATCCGAATGGAGTGCACGGCCGCGCAGAATGTCATGCCCGGCCAGCGTCACCAGCATTGTGTGCTCGATATTGTGATAAAGCGCGTCGCTATTGCCGATACACTCCAGCGCGATGCGTGCAATAGACGGTAACAGTTCGGCAAGTTCCGGATCCGAGCGGCCGAAACGGCGCTGAACATAGGTTGTCAGGAAATCGCCGAGAGCGTCTGCCGCAAGTTCCGGGACGGTAATCATTGGTCGGAAAATTCCTGATCTATACTTTTGATAAAAAGCAAACTTCCTGAGTTGGTACCGTTGCGAACGTATATGTCAAGGTGATGTCGGTAAGTGGCAGTATCAATTCTTCGTTTCAATAAATTAAAAAAAAGACTGTGATTTTATTGAAAAATAATTTTTTTAAACAAAAAAAGGCGCCGAAATCGCGCCTTTTTTGTTTAATTTTTTTTATCAACTTACTGCTTCGCGTTCATATTCACGCTCTTGTCTAGTTTTGAACTCTTCTAACTTTGAGTTATACCAACCTTCATAAGAAGCATTTTGCTCACTTTTCAACTGATCAATACGCCTCAGAATAACCTCTTTCATGCGATCATCTGATTTTTCTTTTGACATCAGAGACTCTCCCATGGGTTGCGCTTATCTTATAATAGGATTTATTGGTTAACAATATGTTCAAATAACACATATCAGATTCGGAGTCGCCCCTTGAAAGCGATATTAGAGAACATCGAATTTCCAGAACTTTTTTTGGGCATGGTATCTCCAATGGGTGTCGATATTGACGAAGTCTCGGAGGAGCTTGAAAGCAATCTCAAAAAAAATGGGTATCATGTAATAAAAATTAGAATTACCGACTTATTTGAAATCATTTCAACCCGTGTAAAACCTAAAAATGAGCTCAAAAAAAAACCACTCCAAGAGCGATACGAAAGTTACATTCAATACGGAAATCAACTTAGGAGCCATTTTAAGGACCAGGCATTCTTAGCCGCAGTAACAGTATCAGAAATATCAAGGCTCCGCGAAGACTACTACAAATTAAACTCAACCCCAGAAAGTAAAAAATACGCAAAAACCGCTTATATCATTCGTCAATTCAAAAATAAAGAAGAAATTTCCTTCCTCAGAACAATATACGGGAAAACTTTTTACCAAATTTCAATATACTCACGCAGAAGTGCAAGAGTTCATAGCCTATCAAAAAAGATGGCGTCTAGTAACAATAGCTCCGAACTAAACAACTACAGAAGCTTCGCAGAAAAACTGATTACGATTGATGAAAACGAAGAAGATAAGTACGGGCAAAAGGTCTCTAAAATATTTCACGATGCTGATTACATTGTGAATATAGATTCACTTGAGTCAGAAGTACGAAATCAAATAAAGCGATTTTGCGAGTTGTTGTTTTCGTCAAACAGCAAGTCTCCGACAAAACTTGAATACGGTATGTTTTTCGCAAAAGCTGCTGCGCTTCGGAGCCTTGATCTTTCACGCCAAGTCGGTGCCGCAGTGTTCAGTGAAAATGGAGAAATTTTGAGTCTCGGCTCAAACGAAGTGCCAAAGGCCGGTGGCGGCACTTACTGGGAAGACGGGGAATCTAATTTTGATGCGAGAGACTACACTCGAAAATCGGATCCAAATGTAGTTAGAAAAAGGGAGATAATCAGCGAATTAGTTCAAAACATCGAAAGCAAAACAACACTCGAAGAAGATGTTTTACAGCGAGACAGTGTGAAAAACTCTCAATTAATGGATATTCTCGAATTTGGTAGAATAGTTCATGCTGAAATGTCTGCAATAACAGACGCAGCAAGAACTGGTAGAAGACTTCAAGACTCAACGCTCTTCTGCACAACATACCCCTGTCACATGTGCGCAAAACACATTGTGGCATCAGGTATTTCAAAAGTCTACTTTCTGGAACCTTACCCTAAAAGTCTTTCAGAAAGTTTGCATGGAGACGCAATTTCATTCGAGGGCGCTGAAAGAGGAGAATACCAAAACTATCCCTCCGTAGAATTTCTGCACTTTTTTGGCGCAACCCCAAGAAGATACCGAGATTTCTTTGAAAGAGGAAAGAGAAAAAATGACAAAGGACACTTCCAAAACTATATAGATGATGTAAAGAGACCAAATATCAACATTAAATCACCCTACTACATTCAAACTGAATCTCTTGTACTAGATCATTTAAGGAATTTAATCTCAAATAACTAAAGATAATTTAAAAATTTTCATCCCAATAGAACATTACGAAATTCAAAACACACCCGGCCTAAACTAATATTTCACTTTACTTTTCCGCATACAGCACGATGCAGCTCGGATTGTCCAGGTACCAGGCCCAACCGACCAGATGGTGTGTCTGCTCCGGCGGAAACTGGAGCGAATGCCAGCGAATATTGGTCAACCCGGCGCGTTTGAGCGCTTCTTCATGCTGCTGCCGGCTCCATTGCCATATCGGAACTTCAAAATCCTTGATGACGAGCGCGTATGCCGGTGGGTCAATGATGCGGTAATGAAAGCCGATCCGTTCTTCCATGTCGTCCGGAGCACTGGTAAAATCATAGTCCGGATTGATCGTATAGGTTACGAACTTCCCACCGGGTTCAAGGTTACGGCCGATCAGGTCAGCCATATGGTCAAGTTCCTCAACACTGCGTGCATAGTGAAAAAGATACATCGCCGTGACGATGTCTGCCTGCGGGGTCATTTGAAAGGTCTCGTCCGTGGCGCTGACCTCGCCATAGCTCACCCGATCCGGGAAGGCCTCAGGTTGCCCCTCGGCGTTTTGTTCCCTGGCGTGTTCCAGCATTTCTTCGGAGACATCAAGACCAAGAACCTCCGCAGCTCCGCCATGGGCAAGAACACGTGTCAAACGACCGTCACCACAGGCCAGGTCGAGAACGCGTTTGCCTGTGACCGGCCCCAGCACTTCCAGGAACACCGTCCATTCAAGCAGCCTGTAGGGGTTGTCGGCGACCGATTGCTGCAGATAGGGTGCGGGATTCCTGTCATAGTCTGCCATTGTACACCTCGCCGACCGGATTGCGGTTCAGGCAACCGCTTCTGATTGATTGTGCACAGTACCGGATAACCGGTTTCCGGGACAGACCTCGGGCAGACTTCACCGCACCTGACGATTTGCTTTCAGCGCGTCACGCCTCGTAGACGATCTCGCGGGTTTCGCGGAAGGTCACATCAGGAAATTTTTCAGTGACATGACCGACTTCCCAGGCGTTCTTGAACAGGAACACCGGCTTGTCATCGCGGTCGTTTGCGATCGACATGCGATGGGCTTCGATCATCTTCTGCAGCGTCTGGCTATCTGTTTCAATCCAGCGGGCGGTGTTGTAGGGCACCGCTTCAAAACCGATCTCTGTGCCGTATTCGGCCTTCAGCCGATCAACCACGACATCGAGCTGAAGCGCACCGACCACGCCGACAATCCAGTTGGAACCAAGGTCGGGTTTGAAGATCTGCACCAGACCTTCCTCGGCCAGATCCTGCAGACCCTGGCGCATCTGCTTGACGCGCATGGTGTCGGACAGGCGCACGCGTCGCAGAATTTCCGGTGCGAATGCCGGCAGGCCCGTGACGTGAATGTTCTCACCCTCCGTCAACGTGTCGCCGACGCGCAGCTGGCCATGGTTCGGGACGCCGATGACGTCGCCCGGATAGGCAAGATCTGCGATCTCGCGTTCCTCGGCAAAAAAGAAGATCGGTGCGGAGACCGCGATCTGCTTGTTTGCGCGTACGTGTTTCAGTTTCATGCCGCGCTTGAATGTTCCCGAACACAGGCGGACGAAAGCAATACGGTCGCGGTGTTTGGGGTCCATGTTGGCCTGCACCTTGAAGACGAAACCGGTGACCTTGTCTTCCTCGGGCATGATTGTACGCCCGCCGGTGGCCGGCTGGGAATGTGGCGGCGGTGCAAAGGCCGCTATGAAGTCGAGCACCTCTTCAATACCGTAGTCGCGCAGTGCGGAGCCGAAAAAGACCGGTGTCAGGTGACCCTCGAGAAAGCTCTCCCTGTCGAATTCGGCGTAGCCTTCCGCACCGAGTTCCACGTTCTCGGTCAGTTCATCCATGATCCGGTCGAACACGGTTGCGGTCAGGATCTCGTCCTCAAGACCCGAAACGTCCCTGGTCTCAGCATAGGCGCCGCCGCGCTCGCCTTCGGACGTATGGAACTTCTTTTGCTGCCAGTCATAGACGCCGAAGAAGTCTGAGCCCATGCCGACCGGCCAGGTCTGCGGCGAAACATCCAGCGCAAGCGCTTCCTGGACCTCGTCCAGGATCTCCAGGGCGTGACGGCCTTCCCGGTCGATCTTGTTGACGAAAGTGATGATCGGGATGTCGCGCAGGCGGCAGACCTCGAATAGCTTGCGGGTCTGGGTCTCGATGCCCTTGGCCGCATCAATGACCATGATTGCCGCATCGACGGCCGTGAGCGTGCGGTAAGTGTCCTCGGAAAAATCCTCGTGGCCCGGTGTGTCGAGGAGATTATAGACGATGCCCTTGCGCTCGAAGGTCATGACGGAAGACGAAACCGAAATGCCTCGTTCCTGCTCGATCTTCATCCAGTCCGAGCGAGCCCTGCGACGTTCACCGCGCGCCCTCACCTGCCCGGCTGCCCGGATCGCACCACCCGAAAGAAGAAGCTTTTCGGTCAGGGTCGTCTTGCCGGCATCCGGATGCGAAATAATTGCAAATGTGCGCCGTGATTGATACGGCGCCTTTCCGTTGAGGCCTGCCATGAAATTCTCCTGGTCCGCTGATCCGGCGGGGTCTGCGCATTCGCGACGGTTGATACCGGTGCGCAACAACACTCTTGGTGGCCGGACGGATTGATGTTTCGTTGGCGCAAGGTCATAGAGGGAATAAGAGAAAAATTCCAGAGTGAATGTGTAAGGTAAGAGCCCATCGGGACCTTCTAGGCGCGTTGTGGCAGAAGAAGGTTGCAACTTGGAAGGTTCCGGACCGATCAAGTTTTCTTCGAGCCGTTGGTTTCAATGCGCAATTGCGGTCTTGGGTATTTTCGTTCCCAATGTTGCGACCAGCCAAACGATCCAAAGTTCTGCTTGTCCAATCTCTTGGTTGCGAATTGTTGAAAAAGTAGCTTCCGTTCGAAGCGAGCTCCCGGCAGGGAAAAATGTCATTCTGTTCTCCGGATCCGATGGAGAGGTTTACAATTGCCTTGACGAGCCACTTGCTGACACAGTCCTAGAACAAATTAGATTCTCTCAAAAATCGCTTGCTATTGCGATGGCACAAAACCGGTTGCAAAACCCTGGAACAGATACAGGTTACTGCGACTACGGCTCAAATCCTGACGAAAGTTCCGCAGTCCAATACATGTTTAATCTTCCCTACGATGCAGCAGAACTTAACAGCGACCAATGTGCGGGTAGCCTAGAAATCTCTCTTAGAAATCTGCGCCTAAAGGCGCCCTCACCTTCATCAACACCTTCGATTCCAAAATAGTTTCAACAAAAGAGTCACAAAATGAGCCCTACGAAATGTTTGATCACCGGCCTCCTCATGGTTGCCGTGATGGCCGCCATACTTTTCGCCATGGGAAGGATCCCGATCTGTGAGTGCGGTTACGTCCTCCTTTGGACGCCTGCGAGCGATGTTGCCGGGTCGTCACAACATATTGCCGACTGGTACACGTTTTCTCACATCATCCACGGGTTCATCTTCTACTGGGTGCTCTGGCTCCTGTTCCGGCGCAGTTCGGTTTGCGAACGCGCATTAGGGGCGATCCTCATCGAGGCAGCGTGGGAGGTGGCCGAAAACAGTCCCTGGATTATCGACCGGTACCGGGAAGCAACGATTGCCGTCGGCTATACCGGCGACAGCGTGCTCAATTCGATATTCGACATCGTCTGGATGCTGGTCGGTTTCTTCTTTGCCTGGCGGATGCCAGTCTGGGTCACCATCCTGGTCGCGATTTTCTTCGAACTGCTTGCACTTTGGGTGATCCGCGACAATCTCACCTTGAATGTCCTGATGCTCGTTTATCCGGTTGAAGCGATCAAGGTCTGGCAAGGGGGCTAGCAGGCACCGCCCTGAAACACTGCACTCGATCTGTTTGTGCCGGGTCTCGGCGCCGTCCAGGTTTTGTGCCGATATGCAACACTTGCCAGTTGGTCCCGGGGCAAGCCCGGGACAGTGCCATGGATTTGGCTTGGAGAAGTGAGGCGGCGCCGTCGGCGGCAAAGCGCTTCGATCTCCCTACTGAAACTTCGAGACAGGCTTGGCAAGTGGGACAACCTTCGCGTCCAGTTCTGCCTTGCGCACGAACCCAGGCGTTCCCTTGAGGGAAGAGTGCTCCTCTTCCTCGTCTTCCGGATCCAGGTCAATCAGGATCAGGTTTTCAAGAAAGGCGATCAGCGCTCCGCGGTCGGTTTCGGATAGAGCTTCGTATGCAAGTCTGCTTTCTTCGGCCTCACCTCCATGAGCCAGAATTGCCTCTTCAAGCGTCGTGGCATTTCCATCGTGGAGCCAGGGGCCTGTCGACCCTACCCCAGCCAGGGAAGCTGTTGGCCAGACCGAAGCGCCGAAACCGTGCACATCAACGGGGTCACTGAGCTTTTCACCCATATCGTGACGCTTGAAGTCCGAGTACCAGGCAACGATGGCCGACCCATCCCCGGCTTTCTCAAACGCGCCGAAATTCAGAATTTCACCGTTGGCAACCTCAACATGATTGTTGGGTGAATCTTCCGTCAGATCAAACCACACTGCCGTATTGGCAGAGAGACCTGCTTCCGCAGCCTCCTGCCCTGACGGAAAGATCTCTTCGGTGAACCCGGCCTGCAGACTGGGTTCGCTGAAGATCGGGGTGGATACATTCATCACGGGCACATGGCAACCCGTGCATTTCGCATCCGCAAATTTTGTCTCACCCTGCTCGATCCTGTCCTTTTCCTCCGGCTCGAGTTGCATGACACCACGCTGATGAAGTTCAAGCTTGGAAACCGGGCGCTCAAGAGCTGCCATATAGACCGTCAAAGCGGTCAGATCGCCGACGGACAACTCGCTTGTAACGCCGTCATGGTCGCCGTCGTGGTCACCGACAAGCTCTTCCGCCTGCATTCCAAGTTCATTGTGCGCCGCATGCCGGGTGAACGCGCGCAGGGTCGCATGGGATCCTTTCCAGCCGAACATCCTGACAACGAGGTCTTCGTCTACCCCTTCGACGCTGCTGCGATCATACTCGGCAACGCAGACACCGGTTTGCGCATCCAGTCTAGGGCTGGCAGACAGCATTCCGAAATCGACTGATTTGGCGGTCAAGGGGCGCGATGCGCTGCCATTCAGTGCGCAGACCTCTTTTTCCAATGTCGCTTCCACGGCCTGAAGCTCTGCGGTCATTTCTTCCGCGATACGCTGAACGGCACCAAGTGCAAACAGATGAGGGGTGTTTCGGTGGAGATATCTCGCAGGATCACCGGTATGCAAGGGATCAACTATTGCATTGAGCGGATTGGGACCTGCACCGTTTGCATATGGCGCGGAGTGGCATGAGATACACGATTGTGCGACCGGCCCGGCTTCGCGTTTCGGCAAATGGTTCGTCCACTCGCCAAATGCCTGCAAGTCCGCCCGAGGCATGCGAGTGAACAGCCTTCCGTCCTGGCTGACTTTTGCCCCGACACCCCGCTCGACCGTAAAGACCGCTTCCGTCAGTTCATCTCCCGCCTCAAAGGCCTCGATGAATGCCTGGTGCGGATCCTCCCCGACCCGGTCATTCAAATGCATCTGATCTAGTTTTTCCGGAACTTCGGCAATGGCAACCTCGACTGCCCCCAATAGAATAAAAACGGAAACACATGCGAACGGGCGAGAGCTTGACGCAATCATGATTACTGCCTCTTTTATTTCTTCTTGAAGAGAAGCAATCACGTTTGTGTGAAAATATGGCAGAAAGAAGCAAAAACTATATATTTTGTTTTATTTTTATTTAAGGATCAAAGTCGAAAATTGAGTGTTTTATTTAGTTGTATTTTTTTATTTGGAAACATTCAGAAATATTTCGACACAGTTTCGCCAAAACTTAATGAATACAAGTCATTCGGATGCTTGCTTAGCCGAACTTCTCGATTTTCGCGCAGGAACCAAACTTCGACGGCCGACCGGAACATCTAAACGAAGTGCATTACAGCTGGAACAGCTTGTGCTTCTTGAGCAGATCTATGAGCACTTCCCTTGCATGCTGCCTGTGACTCCTGTGACGCTCGCGCGCGGTTGCCGGCTTGCCCTGCCTGATCGCATTATAGACTGCTCGGTGGTCCTCATTCGATTTCACCGGCAAAGGACGAATGAACAAGGTCATGGCCCTGGCGCGCCTCACCTGGTTCGCCATCATGGAGACGATCGTCTCGACCCTGGAATTGCCACCCAGCCGGACAAGTTCTTCGTGAAAATCATTGTCCGCAACGGCCCAGTCTTCCCGGTCCTGCCGCTCAAGTGCATCTTCCATCGCCTCGATCGCACGCTGAAGGGTTGCCAGATCCGATTCCGAATATCCTTTTTCAGCTGCTTCTTCCGCGGCCAGGCTCTCCAACTCCGTCAGTACCGCATAGATTTCTTCCATGTCCGTCAATGAAAGTGTTGCAATGCGAACGCCCTTTCTGGGACGCACTTCCAACAGACCCTGCTGAGCCAGCATCAGCGTTGCCTCCCGGACCGGCGTTCGCGACATGCCGAGCCGGTCGGCGAGCTCGCTTTCCAGATGGTCCGACCCTGCAGCAAGTTCACCGTCGAAGATCAGCTGACGGATCTGCTCCATCGCCTGTGTCGTGATCGTCTTCGGTTTCTGTGCTTCAAGCACTTTCGAACTCCCGGATTTTCATGCCTTCGCGATCAGAACGGTAGAGTGCCCGTTCGATCGCAATCACCTTGAGATAGTCCCTTGCCTCGTTCTCCAACGGCTTGCCGTCAAGAAGACCCTCAACTACGTGACATATCAGATTCTTGACACAGTCACCTCCGAAGCCCTGCCACTTTCGAGCGGCCAACAGCACCTTCTCTTCCGTCGAGCCGAAAGACCGCAATCGCACGGAACCGTCTCCAGCAAGACTGAGCGTTCCCAATGTTCCCTCCACAAGCGCTTCTCCGAGAGTCGTCCTGCAATTTTCAGCGGCGTGATCGAGCAGCCTGTTGCCGTCAAACAACGCCCGGGCACCGTTCGGATAGTCGAAAATGAAGTACCCGGCGTCCTCCCCGGCAATCACCGGGTTCAGCTTTCGCAGATCCGCGTAGACCGCGTCGGGTTCACCGAGCAGATAACGGAATGTGTCGATCCAGTGAACGCCCGTTTCGTGAATGAGCAGCCTCGGCATCTGCTGGAAGTAGGGTTGCCTGTCCAGATACGCTTCCGGCCCCTGCCCGTCGCCGGTGCGCAGGCGGAATGTGACCTGCAGCAAATCACCGACAAGCTTGTCGTCAAGCGCCTGTCTAATTGCGCGATACCAGGGCTGGAACCGGAAATTCTCGTGGACGACAAGAGGAATGCCCGCTGCTTCAGCCAGTTGAACGGCCTCTCTTGCCTCTTCGATCGAGTTGCAAAACGGTTTCTGGCAAATGAGTGCCTTGACGCCATTGTCTATTGCCATGCGAATGGCTGCAAGGTGGGTCTGCGGCGGTGTGACAATGTCGAGCAGATCCGGCCGCGCCATCTTCAACATCGTTTTCAACTCATCGAACGCGGGAAAACCTGTCGCCCTCGCCTTTTCCAGGTCGCGGTCGCAGGCGCCGACAAGCCTGACGCGCTGTAGACCCTGCCAAGCCTCGTAGTGAAAACGGGCAAAATAACCGGCTCCCAGGCACGCAACCCGCAAAGCCTCACCGTCTTTTTTCATGGCTTTCTCTCCGTCGCCCTGACGCTGATACGCACATTGGGTCGTTTTCGCAGCACCTTTCTGGAGCGCCTGCATCTTCATCTTTTTGATAGTGGACATCAGTCAAGTTGACAAGGGATTGAATTACGTATACGCAAACCAATGTGTAATTAGATACGATCTCAAATCCGATCGTGGGAGGAGACTGGAATGCTTGATAAGAAAACCCTGAGCCGTCTGCTGATGAGCGCTGCAATCGTTGTGGCAAGTGCGGGAAGCGCTGCTGCCGCGGAAACGCTCCGGTTCAGCCATACGGACAATCCTGGTGGTTCTCGCCAGGCGGCGGCGGAGCTTTTTGCCGAAAAGGTCGCTGAATACACAGACGGACGTTATGAAGTTCAGATCTTCCCGTCGGGTCAGCTGGCAAACGATCCGAAGGCCATTGAACTGCTCCAGCTCGGTGGCATCGACTTTACGGTCTCCGCAACGGGCAGCTACGCCACTCACCTGCCGACGCTTAACCTCACTGCGATGCCGTTCCTGGTCGACACATATGAGCAGGGCTGGGAACTCTATGACAATTCGGATTGGCTGCAGGGCGAATTTGACAAGCTGCCTGAAAAGGGCTTCCGCGTCCTGTCGACCTGGGAGGCCGGTTTCCGGAGCTTCACCACGAACGAGCCGCTCGCCTCCCCTGAAGATGCTCAATCCATGAAGATGCGCGTCTTTCCGAACGACATGATCCGCTGGTCGATGGAAGCCATCGGTTTTCAGACGGTCGTCATGCCGATCACAGATGTCTACCTGTCGATCCAGCAAGGCATCGTGAATGGCCAGGAGAACCCGGTCGACACGATCAATTCCCTTCGGTTCTATGAAGTGGCTCCCAACATCACGCTGACGCGTCATGTCTATAGCCCGCTGCCCCTGACGATTGCCGAGAAGACCTGGCAATCCTTTTCTGACGAAGACAAGGAAGCAGTACGGAAGGCAGCTGCCGAATCCGCAGCCTTCAGCCGCAACCTGGTGAAAAGCTCCGTCGACAGCCAGCTGTCCCAGATGACAGAGGACGGCGCCAAGGTCAGCGTTCCTGAAATCGGACCGTTCCGCGAAGCCGTGCAGCCGGTTTATGCAAAAGCAAAAGACGTCTACGGCGAGGAAGCTGTCAACAATATCCTCTCCGATGCCGCGGCCATCAGAGACGCGCTTCCGGCGCAAAACTGACCTAGAGCATCAACTGACCGGAGCCTTTTCGGCTCCGGTCCTTTTCAAAAGAGATGACCGTGGATTACCGAGATCATTATCCGGCTGTGCTTCGCTGGCTCAGCCATCTGGTGGACTTTGGCCTCATGCTGGGAGGCTTTTCGATTGTCACACTTGTGTTCTGCAACGCCTGGCTCCGGGGCTTTGCCGGCTTTGACCTGGCCTGGTCCCTTGAGGTTACCAGCTTTCTGCTGCTGTGGAGCACGTTCACCGGCTGCGCAGCGGCTGTGGCACGCGGAGCGCATATGCGCGTGACGGAGATCGTCGAACGGCTCATGCCGTTTGCCGCGCAAAGACTGCTCTCGATCGCCATCGACGTAATCATCGCAGTCCTTTTGATCAGCCTGATCTACACAGGATACAACATCTCGGTTCACACCTGGGCACAGAAGACGACGGTTCTCTACTGGCCTGTCGGGCTTCTCTACGCATCCATGCCCGTCGGCATGGCACTGACGCTGATCTTTCATCTATTCAACATGGTTTTCGATATCCGGAACCCGGTCGTGCCTCACGGAACGCATTCGGATGGCGGGGAGGCGCTGCTATGATCCTGATTTTCGTCGTAGCCGTGTTCCTGACCACGGTCTTTCTAGGCGTTCCCCTTGTGTGGGCCATCCTGATTACGGCTGTTTTGCCAATCATTGTCTTTGACCTCGGCTATCCGCTGCAGGCGCTCTTCCTCAACTTCATCGGCGGCGTCGAGCCAAACCATTTCCTGGCGATACCGCTATTCATCGTCGCTGGTGAAATGATGAGTCGCGGCGGTGTCGGTCTGCGCATCATCGGATTTGCGCGCGCCACCTTCGGGTTCATGGCCGGTGGCCTCGGCATGGTCGTTGTCGGAGCCTCGATGATCTTCGGCGGCATTTCCGGATCCGCCATTGCCGACAGTGCCGCAATCGGTTCGGTCATGATCAAGAACATGTCGCGAGAAGGCTACAATACCGCTTTTGCGGCCGGGCTTGTCGCCGCCGCCGGTACGATCGGGATCATCATTCCTCCCTCCATTCCGATGCTGATCTACGGCTTTGTCGGCAATGTTTCGGTTGCGGACCTGTTTTTGGGCGGCATGGTCCCCGGCATCCTGTTTGGTGCCATGTTCATGGCGGTCTGCTACTACGTCGGCAAGACCAGCAAGTGCGACCCGGGTGGGCGAACAACCTCCTTGAAAGAACTGAGAAGCTCCTTCATCGGAACAGCCCCCGCCCTCTTCATGCCGGTCCTTATCCTAGGCGGCATTTTCACCGGCTGGGTCACGCCAACCGAAGCCGCCGCGCTTGCCGTTGTCTATGGACTGTTCGTGACCACAGTCGTCTATCGAGACTTCAAACTGAGGGACCTGCCGAGGCTTCTGGTCGATTCGTTCGTAACAAGTGCCGTGGTGATGGTGGTTATCGGTGCTACCACCGTGCTCGGCTGGCTGATCACGCTCGAACAGATGCCGCAGATACTGGTCGGTTTCGTCCAGGAATTTTCTAGCGGTCCCTGGATGTTCCTTCTGCTTGTGAACATTGTCCTGCTTATTCTCGGGCTTGTACTCGACCCAGTTCCCGCAATCCTGCTCACGGCCCCCTTGTTCCTGCCAACGGCAAAAGCCTTCGGCGTCGACCCCGTTCACCTCGGGGTGATCATGACCTGTAACGTTGCCGTCGGTCTGTTCACACCACCCGTGGGAGCAACGCTTTACGTTGCCTCCAGGATTTCCGGTGTCGGTGTGCTTACCATCGCGCGCAACATGGCGCACCTCTACCTCGCTGCCATCGCGGCTCTTCTCGCCGTGACCTATATCCCGTTCGTCTCAATGGGTATGGTGCATCTTTTCCGGTAACAAGGAGAACCACGTGTTTGCAGTCACGGTCCAATTCCAGATCAGGGACGGAATGTTCGAAACCTTCATGCCTCTGATGATCGAGAATGCCAAAGCCTCGCTTGAAGGCGAACCCGGATGCCGGCAATTTGATGTCTGCTCCGATCCGGACAGGCTGAATGAAGTTTTTCTCTATGAAATCTATGATGACGCGGCCGCTTTCCAGGCGCATCTGAAAACCCCGCATTTTCAGGCCTTTGATGCTCAGGTCGCGCCGATGATTTCCGAAAAGTCCGTTGCGACTTATGCGAAGGTAAGATCATGACACCCTGGGAAGTCTTTGCCGTAAAATATGCGGACAGGAACCAACGGACCCGCAAAGACAGCTTCATCCTTGATGACGATCATCATCTTCCCCACGAGATGGACTACTTCATCTGGGTGCTGCGCCAGGGGAGCGAGATTGTCCTGGTCGATACCGGCTATGACCAGGAGGAAGGCGACCGGCGCGGACGGCCCATCAGGCTGAACCCGGTTGAAGCGCTTGCGCCGCTCGGCGTCGACCCGCAGACGGTCTCGACAATCATCGTTACACATCTTCACTACGACCACGCAGGCGGTCTGAAGCATTTCCCGAACGCGACGATCCATTTGCAGGCGGCGGAAATGGCCTATGCAACAGGCCCCTGCATGTGCCACGGAACGCTGAAAGACCCCTTCACGGCTGACCATGTCTGCGAGGCTGTGCAGCGTCTGTATTCAGGCCGCGTCGTCTTTCACGAAGGCGATGGGCAGGTAAGGGAAGGCGTGACGGTCCATCACACGGGTGGTCACAGCAAGGGTCTTCAGGCCGTGAGAGTGTTGACCGAAGCGGGCTGGATGTGCCTCGCCTCCGATACGTCCCACTATTACGAGAACTTTCTCGACGAAAAACCGTTCCCGATTGTTGTCGATCTCGATGACATGCTGGAGGGGTTCAGGACCATTCGGCAGCTTGCCAGCGCAGACAGGCTCGTCATCCCGGGACATGATCCACTTGTGCGGGACTTTTTTCCTTCCCACGGACCGGACCACGTTACTCGCCTCGACCACGGTCCGACCAAATGGATAGACGCATGAAGCTGGGTGTGATCGCAGATGATTTTACCGGCGCGTCCGACATCGCCCTGACACTGTCTGAAGGCGGCATGCGGACGGCCCAGTATGTCGGCGTACCGTCCAGGGCGTCCAACAGTGACATTGAAGCCGGTGTCGTCGGGCTTAAGTCGAGAACAGCGCCTGCGGGTGACGCCATTGAGGTTTCGCTCAAGGCCTGCGACTGGCTTGTCGACCAGGGGTGCGAACAGATTGTCTTCAAGATCTGCTCGACTTTCGATTCCACCGACGAGGGAAACATCGGCCCGGTCGGTGCAGCGCTTGCCGACCGTCTCGGCGAGACCTCCGTTCTGGTCTGTCCAGCCTTTCCTGAAAACGGACGCACCGTCTACGAAGGGCATCTGTTTGTGAAGGACAGGCTGCTCAGTGAAAGCGGCATGCAAAATCATCCTCTGACACCCATGCGCGATCCGGATCTGCGCCGCGTGCTTGCCGCCCAGACAGACTGGACCGTGGGTCATATACCAATTTCCGCAGTCCGGGGCGGAGTTGACGCAATCGTTGCCACACTTTCCGATGCCGGAAGGGCCATGTTCATCGCGGACGCGGTTCGAAACGAAGATCTTGTTGCCTTGGGCCGGGCGGCAGTTGATCGGAAACTCATTGTCGGCGGTTCCGGCATTGCGCTCGGTCTGCCCGAAAATTTTGACGTGGTGCGCAGGGAGACCCGCTGGCATGGTCTTTCCGGCAAGGCGGTGGTCCTGTCCGGCTCGTGCTCAACGGCAACGCGCGAACAGGTGGCAACATTCAAGGCCTTCGCTCCCGCGCGCGAAATTGCGGTTGCGGACATCATGGAAAACAGGGTGTCGCCTGAACAACTCGTGGATTGGGTGCTGCAACAGGATACACCTCCGCTCATCTATTCGTCTGCGGAACCAGATGTGATAACAGCCGCACAGGAAAGATACGGAAAAGACGAAAGCTCCCAATCGGTTGAGCACCTCTTTTCAGATCTTGCCGCAGCTCTCTCACAGGCAGGTGTAACACGGATTGTTGTGGCCGGAGGCGAGACCTCCGGTGCGGTCGTCTCCGGTGTCTCAGCCAATACGCTTGAGGTTGGACCGAGGATTGCGGCCGGTGTGCCCGCGCTCAAGGTTACCGGAGGCGAACTCGTCCTTGCTCTGAAATCGGGCAATTTCGGAGGCCCAGATTTCTTCCGCGAAGCACTGGCGGTGCTGGAGGGGCGCGCATGAGTGAAATCACCACTGTTCGCGACCAGATCGCCTCTTGCGCGAAGTCCATGTTCGACAGGGGCCTTACTCATGGCTCGACGGGCAACATCTCTGCCCGTTTGTCGGACGGTAGCCTGTTGGTGACGCCGACGGGGTCGTCAATGGGATTCCTTGATCCAGGGCGGATCAGTCATCTTTCAGCGAGCGGCGACCTTCTGTCGGGAGACCGTCCCACCAAGGAAATGCCCCTTCACTCTGCCTTTTATGATACCCGCGCAATGACAGGTGCAGTCGTTCACCTGCATTCCTGTCATTCGGTCGCCCTGTCGTTGCTACCGGACATCGACCCGGAGAATGTGCTCCCGCCCTTGACGGCCTACGGGATCATGCAACTCGGAAAGGTCCGGCTGCTTCCCTTTTTCGTACCAGGGGATCCAGCCATGGGCGACGCAGTCCGGGGCCTTGCAGGAAAACGGTCGGCAGTCCTGCTGGCCAATCATGGGCCGGTCGTTGCGGGCAAAAGTCTCGAGGCCGCAGTGAATGCGATGGAAGAGCTTGAGGCGACGGCAAGACTTGCAATGCTGTTGCGCGGTGCAAACGCCACCGTATTGAACGCAGATCAGATCGACCGGATTGTTGACCGGTTCGACGTTGACTGGACGTAAGGACTGAAAAAATGAGAATTGCCCTGATCAAAGGCGACGGTATCGGTGTGGATGTTGCGGAGGCAGCAATGGCCGTTGTTGAAGCTGCCCTGCGCAGAACCGGCCAGACACTGCCTCACTATGACAACATTTGTGCAGGAGCCGGACACTACAAGGACACCGGTCTTGATATCGAAGCCGACGGAGAACAGCGCGCAGGGGTCGCTGATGCGATCTTTCTCGGTGCGATCGGTCTTCCCTCGATCCGTCACGATGACGGCACCGAAATTTCCCCTCACCTGCGCTTGCGTGACCGTTTCGGCCTGTATGCCGGTGTCAGACCCGTCAAGGCCTATCCGAATGCCCCGCAACGGCTGGCCGATCCGCGCGCGGCCGGGATCGACCTTGTCATCTTGCGCGAGTCGACGGAGGGCCTGTTCTACTCGGCCGCCACCCACAAGCGCAGCCTCGTGGTGAACGACGACGAAGTTCAGGACATACTCAGGATCACGCGCAAAACCACGACGAAACTGCATCAATTCGCTTTCAATCTCGCTCGCAAGCGTCGCGAAAGGGGCAGTCCCGGCCATCTGACCTGCGTCGACAAGGCGAATGTGTTCACTTCCCTCGCCTTTTTCCGGCAATTGTTCGACGAGGTAAAGGGAGCCTTCCCGGATGTTCCGGTCGGTTACAATTATGTCGACGCCCAGGCCCTCGATCTCGTGCGCAAACCCTGGGATTTCGATGTGCTGGTGACCGAAAACATGTTCGGAGACATCCTGTCCGACCTTGCCGGCGGGCTTGTGGGCGGCATGGGCATGGCGGCCTGTGCCGAAATCGGAGATACCACCGGGCTCTTCCAGCCGGCGCATGGCAGTGCGCCCGACATCATGGGACAGGACAAGGCCAATCCACTTGCCGCAATTTTGAGTGGTGCACTGATGCTGGATTACCTGTCGGAAAAACTCGACCGGCCTGTGCTGAGCGAGGCTGCCGAACTCATCAACAGCTCGGTGGAAACCGGCTTTCAGCAAAACAACCTTCGCCCCATGGAATTCGGGGGAGACATGGGAACCCGTGATGTGACCCGGCAGGTTCTGTCCTACATTGAGGAAACTGCAGGCGCCCGCGCTTCCATCGGAGCATGAATTCAGATTACTTCCGCTGTCTGGAGACACCGGCACAGCTTTCGCGCACGATCAGATCGCCGTGGAGAAGGTGGCTCCTTGTTTCCAGCAAACGGTTGGCAAGGCGGTCCAGCAGGATGTTCATTGCCTTTTCACCGATGTGATGTCGCGGTTGACGAATGGTCGTCAGGCCGGGTGAAAAGTTGCTGGCAAAGGGAATGTCGTCAAAACCAAGCACAGAAAAATCTTCCGGAACCCGGTATCCACGCAACTGCAGCGCTGAAATGACACCGATTGCGGTATTGTCATTGAAACAGAAAAAAGCGGTGGGCAGGTCATCCTTGATAAAGAGGCGTTCAACTGCCGCCCGTCCGCTTTCACTCGTACCGTCTCCTTCCACGCGCCAGTCGCGCAGGTCCTCGGGCGATTCCCGCAGCCCCTGCCTGTAGCCGGAATGGCGCAGATCGCTGCGGATGTCAGAAGGGCCACCCGAAATGAAAGTGATTTTGCGGTGACCAAGCGAAATCAGATATTCCGTTGCCATCTTGCATGCAGCAACATCATCCACCCCCACATAGCTGATCTCTCTGTTGGAGACAGGCCGTTCGGTGGCAACGATCGGCGGCAACGTTGTCAATGGCGTCTGGGGCTCACCGGCGACCGGTATGTGTCCGGTCAGAAGAACCAGGCCATCTGCCATACCCGTTGACAGGAAACGAAGGTAGTTCTGCTCCAGTCCGGTTGTTCCCTCGGTGTTGCCAATCAGGACACCATAGCCACGGTCGTTTGCAGCCTTCTCAAGCCCGGTCAGGAGCCCGGCGAAATTCGGATCAGCGATGGACGAGGCCAGCACAAGAACCATCTTGGACCGCTGCATCCGAAGGTTCTGTGCCATGGCATTGGCCGTGTACCCCGTCCGCGCAATAGCCGCGGTTACCTTCTTGCGCGTGCTTTCCGCCACCTTCTCCGGCGAACGCAATGCCCTGCTGACGGTCGCAATCGAGACACCCGCCAGTTTTGCCACATCTTCAATTGTTGCCGGCTTGTCGACCGGTTCACTCATTTTAAGGCCCCGATCATGCTGCGCTGCGGGCTGCGATTAAGTGCATGAAATTCAATACTCTCCTAGCTGTATAGACTCTGAACTGATTCATGAAAAGGTTTACAAACCTCAATGTAAAGGTTTACATCGATCATGAAAACGTTTACACGAGTTTCATGGCATCAAAGTGACTGAAGCTGATGGTGCCTGGGAGGAACTTCAAATGGATGTTGGGGCGTCCGCTCCGGCGGCGATCGTCGAAGCTGTGAACATCAGCAAGTCATTCGGCCCGGTACCTGTCCTGTTCAGCGTGAGCATGGACATCCGACCCGGAGAAGTGCATGCGCTGATCGGCGAGAACGGTGCCGGTAAATCAACATTGATGAAGATCCTTTCGGGTTTCCACGACCCGACTTCAGGCCAGATCCGCCTCGACGGAAAACAGACCACCCTCCCTCCCAACGGCGCGGCCGAGAAACTCGGCATCGTTCTCATCCACCAGGAACTCAATCTCGCGGAGCAGATGACCGTTGAGGAAAATGTGTTTCTAGGACGGGAGGCCAGATCGAACGGCTTTCTGGATCGCAAAGGTATGCGGGAGGCTGTTCAGGGACTGCTGGACGAGATCGGACTTGAGATATCGCCAACAGACCGGATTTCAGACCTCACGATTGCGCAGAAGCAGATGGTCGAAATCGTCAAGGCAGTCAGCCGGAAGGCCCGCATCCTGATCATGGACGAACCAACCGCCGTACTCACGGAGGAAGAAACCGAGGTGTTCTTCCGACAGGTTGAAAAATTGAAGGAAAGTGGCGTCGGCATCGTTTTCGTCTCCCACAAGCTGAACGAGGTCAAGGCAATCGCAGACCGGATCACCATCCTTCGCGATGGTCAGTGGATCGATACACGCCTGTCCCGTGACCTGACGCCCGATACGATGGCGCAGATGATGGTCGGTCGCGAACTTTCGGATCTCTATCCGCCCATGCATGAGGCAGATGTCGATGCGGAAATGGTCCTTGAAGTCCAAAACCTCAGGGCGCCCGGCATAGACGATGTCAGTTTCAGCTTGCGCAAGGGAGAGATTCTCGGCTTTTCGGGTCTGATCGGCTCAGGCCGGACTGCCGTCTTCGAAGCCGTTTGTGGCCTTGCTCCAATCGATAGCGGCACGATCAGACTGTTCGGCAGCGAGACTGCTCCCCTGAGCGTTGCCCGGGCACGCGATGCAGGCCTTGCCTATCTTACCAAGGATCGCAAGGAGAAGGGGTTGCTGCTTGACAAGAAGATGCAGCCAAACCTGACCCTTTTTGCCCTGCCGAAGTTCGTGAAGAACTTTGCCATAGACAAAAAAGCGGAAGAAAGTGCACTTGAGCGCGCTATCCGCCGGTTCGACGTCAGAGCACGCGATCCCGGCATCACCGTCGGCAAACTGTCCGGCGGCAACCAGCAGAAGCTGCTTCTTGCCAAGATCATGGAATGTGATCCGAGGATCGTGATCATCGACGAGCCGACGAGAGGCATCGATGTCGGCACCAAGCAGCAGATATATCATTTTATCGCCGCGCTCGCCGCGGAAGGGGTTTCTGTGGTCGTCATCTCGTCCGAGATGCCGGAAATCATCGGCATCTGCCACCGGGTGGCAGTAATGCGAGAAGGCCGTATCACCGGCATTCTGACCGGCGACCACATCAACGAAAACGAAATCATGCGCTATGCCGCCGGGCTGAAACGGGAGGACCTCCATTGACCATGATGACCGCATCAGACGACAAAGCGGCCAAGACGGCCAAACGGTTTTCCGTTGATTTCAAGACGCTTGGTCCGGCGCTCGCCCTGCTTCTGCTTTGTATCATCGGGTTTCTGCTCAATCCTGCCTTTGTCAGTGAAGGCAATCTGACCAATCTTCTGACCCGCTCTGCCTTTATCGGCATCATTGCGGTCGGTGCGACATTCGTCATCACGGCGGGTGGCATTGATCTGTCGGTTGGATCCATGGCCGCTGCGATAGCCGGCGTGATGATCATCGTGATGAACAATGCCGTAGAAACGCTCGGCACGGGTGTTCCAACCGTTCTCTTCGGGTGTGGTATCGCCATTCTTCTCGGGATCGGCGCCGGCTGGATCAACGGGGCCCTGACCACCAGGGGCAAGATCGAGGCTTTTATCGTCACGCTCGGCACCATGGGCATCTATCGGTCGCTGGTAACCTATTTCGCAGACGGAGGCACGTTGTCTCTGAATTTCGATATCCGCGGCACGTATCGTCCGGTCTACTATGATGGCTTTCTTGGGCTTCCGTTCCCCGTCTGGGTCTTCATCGGCGTCGCCATCTGTGGCTGGCTGCTGCTCAACCGGACGGCGTTCGGGCGCTATTGCACGGCGATCGGTTCCAACGAGGCGGTAGCCAAATACAGCGCCATCAATGTCGACAGGGTGAAGACATTTACCTACATCATCCAGGGATTGTGCGTGTCCTTTGCGACGATCATCTATGTGCCGCGTCTCGGCTCGGCTTCCGCATCGACCGGCGTCCTTTGGGAACTGGAGGCGATTGCAGCCGTGATCATCGGGGGCACGGTACTGAAGGGTGGGTATGGTCGCATAGGAGGCACCATCCTGGGCGCACTCATTCTGACGACAATCGGCAACATCTTGAACTTCACCGATATGATTTCGAATTACCTGAATGGAACAATGCAGGGTCTGATCATCATCGTTGCGGTTCTTCTGCAGCGCAGCGACTGGAAGTTCGGCAGAAACAGCAAGTCGTAATTCGCTGAATTCAAGCTAGAGGGACCCGTCCCCACTTTTGACCGGTTCGCACCGGACGGGAAAGGTGCGTCCAATCGACAGCATTGGAGGAGGAAATGATGCTCTGGAAGACAACACTTGGAATGATGGCCGTTACCGGCATGCTGGCTCTTGCCGGTCAGGCATCGGCCGAAGACAAGATCAAGATCGGCGTCAGCTATCCGACACCGACACACGCCTGGGCAGCCGGCATGAACTGGCATGCCGAACAGGCGGAAAAACGACTGGAAAAGCTCTACCCCGACGTGGATCTGATCCTGGTCAATTCTCCTGACCCGGGTGCGCAGGCAAGCGCGCTGGAAGACCTCGTCTCGGTTCACCAGATCGACGCACTTGTCGTGCTGCCGTTCGAATCCGAACCACTGACCGACCCGGTTCTGAACGTCAAGAAGTCAGGCGCCTGGATCACGGTGGTTGACCGCGGTCTCAGCCAACCGGGCATCGAGGACCTTTATGTGGCCGGCAACAATCCGGAACTCGGCCGTGTCTCGGCACAATACATGAAAGGCCGCCTGAAAGACGGGGACAACATCGTTGTCCTGCGCGGCATTCCGACCGTGATCGACAATGAACGTTTCGATGCTTTCATGGAAGAAATCGAGGGATCCGGCATCAACGTGCTGGACCACAAGCACGCCAACTGGAACCGCGATGACGGCTTTGAGGTCATGCAGGATTTCCTGTCACGCTTTCCGGATATCGATGCGGTCTGGGCCCAGGATGACGACATTGCGGTCGGTGTTGTGGCTGCGTTGAAACAGGCTGGCCGCGACGGTGATGGCATGTTCGTTGTTGGTGGTGCCGGCATGAAGGAAATCATCAAGGGCATCATGGACGGTGACGAATTGATCCCTGTCGACGTTCTCTATCCGCCGGCAATGATCGCAACCGCCATGGATGCAACAGTCAACGCGTTCAAGTCCAACGGACCGGTTGCCGGCCGCTACATTCTTGGCGCGACCCTGATCACCCGCGAGAATGCCGAGAGCTACTACTTCCCGGATTCGCCGTTCTAATCGTTCAGCGAAAACTGGCCGGGGTCTTTGCGATGGGATCCCGGCCCCTTTTTTTCAGACCTGGCCCCAGTTTCGGAGAAGAGCCATGAAGACCATAAAGGGCCCCGCCCTGTTTCTTGCCCAGTTCGCGGGAGACGAGGCACCGTTTGATTCCTGGGACTCGATCACCAAATGGGCAGCCGATTGCGGTTACCGCGGCGTTCAGGTTCCGAGCTGGGACGGGCGGCTGATCGATCTCGCCAGAGCCGCCAGTTCAATGACCTACTGCCAGGAACTTGCCGGCACCGCCAGGGAGAACGGTATCGAGATCACCGAACTCTCCACCCATCTTCAAGGGCAACTTGTCGCCGTGCATCCGGCTTACGATACTGCCTTTGACGGGTTCGCCGCAGCGGAAGTTCGTGGAAATCCTGCAGCCCGTCAGGCATGGGCAGTCGATCAGGTCAAGCTTGCACTTGCAGCCAGCCGCAATCTCGGCATATCCGCGCACGCCACTTTCTCCGGCGCCCTGGCCTGGCCTTACCTCTATCCCTGGCCGCAGCGTCCAGCAGGTCTGGTCGAAACGGCCTTTGACGAATTGGCCAGGCGCTGGCGCCCGATCCTCGACTATGCCGACGAAATGGGCGTCGACGTGTGTTATGAAATTCATCCAGGCGAAGATCTCCATGATGGCATCACATTCGAGATGTTTCTGGAACGCCTGAACGGCCACACGCGCTGCAAGATGCTCTACGATCCGTCACACTATGTGCTTCAATGCCTGGACTATCTCGACAATATCGACATCTACAGGGACCGGATCGGCATGTTCCACGTCAAGGACGCCGAATTCAACCCGACCGGTCGACAGGGCGTCTATGGCGGTTATCAGTCCTGGGTGAACCGGGCCGGCAGATTCCGCTCTCTCGGCGACGGTCAAGTCGATTTTGCCGCTGTTTTTTCCAAAATGGCCGCGAATGATTTCGACGGCTGGGCTGTCGTCGAATGGGAGTGCTGCCTGAAGCATCCGGAGGACGGCGCCCGAGAAGGTGCGCAATTTGTCCGCGATCACATCATCCGTGTCACCGAAAAGGCGTTTGACGACTTTGCCGACGGTGGTTCTGATGACGCAGCCAATCGGAAAATGCTGGGGCTCGACCGGGATTGACAGTTCAAGAACACCCAGACGCCCGGTCGTGCCAGATGACGGCCGGAAAAACACGGTACCGTTCTGAAGATGGCATGCGGGTTCACCCTGAGGACGGGCCACGCGTCCGGGAAACAGAAAGCTTTTGTTCGAAACGGCTTTCAGGTGCTTCCATCGGACCGGGTTTCTCTATAGAAATGTAATCGATTACAGTACTGCACCCCGAGACCGCTGGTGCAAACAGGAGGAGCGATATGGCCATAGAAGGTAAAGACAACCCGCAGACGCGTCCGATCCGTCTCGGCATGGTCGGTGGCGGCAAGGACGCCTTTATCGGAGCGGTGCACCGGATTGCCTCGCGCATTGACGGTCGCTACGAACTGGTCGCAGGCGCGCTTTCGTCAACTCCGGCGAAAGCCGAGGAGTCCGGTCGTGCCCTGGGCCTCGACGAAGACAGGATTTATGCCGATTTCGAGGCGATGGCCAAACGCGAAGCCCGGCTGAAGAACGGCATAGAAGCGGTCGCCATTGTCACGCCGAACCACGTTCACTATCCGGCAGCCAAGGCATTTCTGAAAAGAGGTATCCATGTCATCTGCGACAAGCCGCTGACGTCGACACTCGCCGATGCCAGAAAACTTGCAAAGGCGGCGGACAATTCAGACGCGCTCTTTTTTCTGACGCACAATTACACCGGCTATCCGATGGTCCGGCAGGCGCGGGAGATGGTTCACAACGGTGATCTCGGCACGATCCGGGTGGTCCAGGTGGAATATCCGCAGGACTGGCTGACGGTCGAACAGAGCAACAAGCAGGCCGACTGGCGCACGGACCCGGCCCGCTCCGGTGCCGGTGGTTCAACAGGCGACATAGGCACGCATGCCTACAATCTGGCCTGTTTCATTACCGGCCAGTCTGCAGAAAGCCTTGCCGCCGATCTGCAGTCCTTCGTTCCCGGACGTCAGGTCGACGATAACGGGCACGTCATGTTGAGATATGCCAGCGGTGCGCGGGGCATGCTCTGGTGCTCGCAGGTGGCGCCGGGAAACGAGAACAATCTCAAGATCAGGGTCTATGGCGACAAGGGCGGCCTGGAGTGGCATCAGGAAAATCCGAACTATCTCCATGTCACGCCGTTCGGGGAACCAAAGAGGATCGTCACCCGTGGCGGGGCCGGAATGTCGGACAGCATCGCGCCGGCAACCCGGATCCCTCCCGGACATCCGGAGGGCTACCTGGAGGGCTTTGCAAATCTCTACAAGGACGCAGCCGATGTAATCCGCGCGCACCAGGCAGGCAAGGAAATTGCGTCACTCGTCCCGGGGATCAGCGACGGCCTTGCAGGTGTGCAGTTCGTCGACGCCTGCGTGAGATCCTCGGCCCGGAATGCGGCCTGGGTAAAATTGAACGGCTAAAGCAGTCTCACTGGCCTTCCGAAGCGATGGCGGTCGTCTCTGCGGAAGCCAAAGACCATTCAAAACAGCTGCGCGTTGGTCTCAGGACCAATGCGCAGCCTTGATTGTCCGCTCGGCAATCGCGGCATTCTCGCCCGGACACGCGAAAAAACGAGCCCGATACACATTCAGGTTCCGTCCGCCTCTTGCAGGGAATTGATGTCGTCCTCACCATTTGCAGATTGCAACCCACCCACAACCTTTTTTGATTTTCGCAGCTTAACTTTGTGAAAAAGACGCTGAAGAGAAGATTTACGCCTGCTTCAGCAACGGCGCCATTGGATTAAGAGTAATTTAAATAACAAATACTCGCCAAATGGTAACTCAAGGAATCTTAGAGATTCAAATTAATGATAAAAATCATGCATTTCGCACTTTTGAGTAAAATTTGACATTTACTTGACTTACTCCAATCAAATTATCATCCAAATATCGTATTTTTTTCGTCTTATTTGCTCCGATTTTTCGTCAAATTGTCGCGAATACATTTAAGGCACAACAACGACTCACCGAAATTAATCGCTTGGACACATAAGTATAAATGCCGAGAAACTTCGGCTTATCAGGCTGAACTGGCCTGACCAGGGGGTACCAAGCATGAAGTCGACCACGTCAACCGCATTGTCCGAACCCGTCTTTGCCATTGCGGGGGAGACGGAGTTCTCCGGAGAGAAGGGTGATTATCTTGATGCGGGCAATGCGGCGGCGCTGTCGCTGGCGGCCGGCACCATCGCCATGACCTTCAATGCCGACCATGTCTGGGGAAGCCAGGCGCTGTTTTCCAAGGACGGCAGCGGCTATGACGATGGCGGCCACCTCACCGTCTGGCTCAAGGACGGACGGATCTATGTCCGCCAGCAGACCGACGACAGCACCGAATACCTCAAGGTGCCCGATCTGATGATCAGCCAGGACACCGACTATCACCTGGCCGTCTCCTTCGGCGAGGACGGGCTCAATGTCTTTGTCAACGGCAAGCTCCGGGCGTCCGAGCCGGAGATGAAGCAGGGCATGGACATGAACGAGCGCTCCTTCCTTGTCGGGGCCTCCGGAGCCTGGCGCTCAGACGACGGCCACACCGCCCACCAGCAGTTCAACGGCACCATCGCAGACGTCATGGTCTTCGGTGAACAGGTCGAGGGCGAAGACATGGCAGCGCTTGCCGGTGCCGTCGACCCGGCCTTCGAGGCGGACGCCCTGGCCGCCATGGCACAGGACGACCTGATGCCCGCCTTCCAGCAGCTCCATCACGGCTCCGACGAGGCAAAGGCCCTCGCCATGGCCTACGGCTTCAACCACATGGGCCAGATGACCTCCGGAGCGACCTATTCCGAAGGCACCGATGCCGGCGAGACCATCGAGGGGACCAGCGGCGACGATGCCATCAATGCGGGCCTGGGCGACGATACCGTCAACGGCAATGACGGCAACGACATCCTCCAGGGGTCCTACGGCAACGACATCCTCAATGGCGGCGACGGCAACGACGTGCTCGACGGAGGGCACGGCGAGGACATCCTCAACGGCGGGGCCGGCAACGACCTCCTGATCTCGCAGTCCGACGGACGCGAGGGCGCCGTTGCCTATGACGCCGACCGCGACGAGGGCGATCCCTATAACGAGCTCACCGGCGGCAAGCTCTATCCGGACCAGCCGCTGCATGCCGACGATGTCATGACAGGCGGCGACGGCGCAGACACCTTCTACTTCCAGACCCTCATCAACGCCAAGGCACGCTTCCTGGAAGAACACACACAAGATGACGGCACCATCAGATGGCACGGCGTTGCCGGGGAGAACGAGAACATCCACGACCACTGGGTCGATGTCATCGGCAACGACGTCATCACCGACTTCAACAGGGGCGAAGGCGACACCATCCTGATCGAGGGGCATACCACCAAGATCAGATCCATCTCCTATGGAGACACAAACGGCGACGGCATCGTCGATCACTCCCTGATCTCCCTCTACTCCGACCAGGGATCGGGCGGCGGGGCCCACAACAACGACGACCTGGGCACCATCACCGTCTATGGCGACCTGATCACGCTCTCCGACATCTCCACGACGGCCAAGCCCGCCTATGGCATCGTCAGATCGATCGCCGATATCGACGAGGCCATCAAACCCATCGAGATGGGAACAGACAGGGGAGACATCGAACCACCCGCAGACATCCCGTCACAGGACGACCTGCCCCTCCCCGAAGGCATGACACCCGTCTTTGCCATTGCGGGGGAGACGGAGTTCTCCGGAGAGAAGGGCGATTATCTTGATGCGGGCAATGCGGCGGCGCTGTCGCTGGCGGCCGGCACCATCGCCATGACCTTCAATGCCGACCATGTCTGGGGAAGCCAGGCGCTGTTTTCCAAGGACGGCAGCGGCTATGACGATGGCGGCCACCTCACCGTCTGGCTCAAGGACGGACGGATCTATGTCCGCCAGCAGACCGACGACAGCACCGAATACCTCAAGGTGCCCGATCTGATGATCAGCCAGGACACCGACTATCACCTGGCCGTCTCCTTCGGCGAGGACGGGCTCAATGTCTTTGTCAACGGCAAGCTCTGGGCGTCCGAGCCGGAGATGAAGCAGGGCATGGACATGAACGAGCGCTCCTTCCTGGTCGGAGCCTCCGGAGCCTGGCGCTCAGACGACGGCCACACCGCCCACCAGCAGTTCAACGGCACCATCGCAGACGTCATGGTCTTCGGTGAACAGGTCGAGGGCGAAGACATGGCAGCGCTTGCCGGTGCCGTCGACCCGGCCTTCGAGGCGGACGCCCTGGCCGCCATGGCACAGGACGACCTGATGCCCGCCTTCCAGCAGCTCCATCACGGCTCCGACGAGGCAAAGGCCCTCGCCATGGCCTACGGCTTCAACCACATGGGCCAGATGACCTCCGGAGCGACCTATTCCGAAGGCACAGATGCCGGCGAGACCATCGAGGGAACCAGCGGCGACGATGCCATCAATGCGGGCCTGGGCGACGATACCGTCAACGGCAATGACGGCAACGACATCCTCCAGGGGTCCTACGGCAACGACATCCTCAATGGCGGCGACGGCAACGATGTGCTCGACGGAGGGCACGGCGAGGACATCCTCAACGGCGGGGCCGGCAACGACCTCCTGATCTCGCAGTCCGACGGACGCGAGGGCGCCGTTGCCCATGACGCCGACCGCGACGAGGGCGATCCCTATAACGAGCTCACCGGCGGCAAGCTCTATCCGGACCAGCCGCTGCATGCCGACGATGTCATGACAGGCGGCGACGGCGCAGACACCTTCTACTTCCAGACCCTCATCAACGCCAAGGCACGCTTCCTGGAAGAACACACACAAGATGACGGCACCATCAGATGGCACGGCGTCGCAGGCGAGAACGAGAACATCCACGACCACTGGGTCGATGTCATCGGCAACGACGTCATCACCGACTTCAACAGGGGCGAAGGCGACACCATCCTGATCGAGGGACATACCACCAAGATCAGATCCATCTCCTATGGAGACACAAACGGCGACGGCATCGTCGATCACTCCCTGATCTCCCTCTACTCC